GCTGAAGTCATGGCACAGTACTTGCATTCCCCTTAGACAAGCAGAAGGACATCAACTGCCTTAGGGACTCCAGTAGCACTGGAGTGCTCCCCCAATACCTGCTCAGGCCACCAACTCGGCCAAGGTGAACTTCCCACACATGGCGAGTTTCAGGAATGCAACTTCTCCACTTTTCTCATGTATTGCCACCTGGTTTGGATGCCGAGCTCTTTCTTGGGAGCTTGATGCCGGCTTTAACTGCATTCTGAGACCAGACAGGATGGACTTCAAAGAGCTGAAATAATACAGAAACAACCATGGAACTGAACACAGCGGTCTCAGTGGCATCTACGGAGACTTGTTATGTCAGTCAGACTTTGGATTTGCCCGTTGTTATCCTCAGAAAAACAGACAATGTCCATCCAGCAGCCAGTCTACTCTCCAAAAGGGCTGGAGAGCTCTGCAGAAGGCACATTACAAAATCGGTTTTCAGAACATGGGCAACTCTAAGGAAGAATATTTGACAGCCCTCAGGGACATTTCAGATATTTACCACTCACTTTCCTAACGTGACGTTGTCATGCCTAGACAAATTTTTATCCCATCCATCATTTCAAGGGGAGCTGCAGCTGCTCAGGACACCAAATATTCCTGTATTGCTGGCAGAATATGCGGGTAGAGCCCATCTCATTTGAGAGATTAGAGAACAGAAAAAGCAAGTTTTGTTTGGCTAAGGACACAAAGGACAGCTGATATCAACTGGAGTGGAAACCAAAGGCCTGGATTTGTGTTCCTGGCCTAATTACGCAGGTCCATATCTCACTCATTAACAAAGTTAAACAGGAAACACAATTACAAAACCTTCAGAGAAGCCAACAGTAGTTACAACCACAACAATTTTTGTTGAGGTCTGCATGGCACAGCATAGTGCTCAGCCCAGCTCAGGAATAAGGCACATATTTTTCTACATTTCTCCTCCACCTTTTTATCCACAGCATTGCTGCACACTTTCTTCCAGGTCTGTACGGCAGCATCCAGGGGTTTAGTTGGGATTTCTTTGTCATCAAAGTTCACAAAGATAGCGTTGTGCCCTCTAAGGCCAATCAGGTTCTCACCAGACACCTGAGGGTTGTTGTATCCCTCCCTAAGGAATAGGGAAAGGATGGGGTTTGCTTTCTGCCTGTGCCACACATGGACTCAGAGTCTTCACGGGAACATGGGAAAATGGAAGTTTGTGCTCCAGATGTTGGAAGACAAGGGATTCAGCCATGTGAACAATTGGTTTGTCTTTGGCTCCACCTCCCTATGGATTTTGGAGTCACATACTGGTAAATAAAAGGCCCTGGTGACACCATTGAGGAAAGAAACTTTAAATTAAAAAACCTGCAAAGCTACATCCTGCTGCCCGATGACAGAGTTCCCCTGTACTCTCCGACAGAAAACCCTCAAGCACTTGACTGCTGATTTGTGTGACATGTATTTGTAGCACAAAAGGCTTCACCTTCTGCATTTGCTCTGCTGAAATTACTGCAGCTCAGTAGGGTACAGGACCAAGCAAGATGGAAATGCAATTAAGATTATTGTTTTATTTTGAGTGCTGATGAAGGACTAGAGTGAGAAAATGAAAGATGTTTCTTGTGGGAGATCTCACAGATTGTTCTTCTGGCAAAACCAACCGGGGGCCAGGAGGGAACAGGTCTGGTGAGCGAGGTCACAGGAACATATGGCATCGGTTCCCGCGTGCTCCCTCCTCGGCTCCAGCCCACTGGAAGCAGGCAGAACGCCGGGCTCACTGCACCCCACACCGCGTGTAGCGTGCTGGAGGAGGCAGTCGTCTTCACCAGATCACCAGGTCCCCTCACCTGGCAAGTCCTCAAGAGGACTTTTGCTGGGCTTTGTGCTGTCCAGGCAGTTTCTCAAGCTCCTGCCTCTGTTGTGTCAAACCAAGAGGGACAAAACAGAGCAGGGCCGCAGCTTAAACAGGTGAAATACACGAACCATGTGCTTAGTGCTGCTCTGATGCTTCAAGACCACAGATCCTATAGCAACACTGAAGTCAGAATGGTTGGAGGCATCTTCCAGTGATGAAAAAGGAAATCTTAACATGAAGAACTGTCTCTTAGAAGTATATATTAGAGCAGCAAAATGTTTCACTGCCTGTCCATTCCAGAACCAACCCAGCCATTTGCTACATAGTGAGAAAAGGCACTCACCGGTGTTGTATATCCGGCCGATAAAAATAGTCAACGGGAGTGTCCAGACGTGAGAAAATTGGCGGCGGGATGTAGAGAGGTAATTCTCTATTGAAAAATTCTTCCTTCTCTGGTTTGAGCATTAGGACTTTGTCATACATGGAGGTTTGTTTGCCATCAGGACCAGAGTGCATTGCCAGGTACTGGAAATCAGACATTCCTGGAAGAAACAAAAGTTAGAACATTGTGAAGTTTGTTGTGAATATCCCAATGTTTCTTACAA